CCATAAGTCATGTGCCCCAGCCCCCTAACTATTTTGGTTGCTCTCCACAGGACTCTCTTCAACTTATCCACATCCTTTCTGTAGTAGTGGCCCAAAACTGGACACAATACTCCAGATGTGGCCTCACCAATGAAGAACAGAAGGGAAGAATCACTTTCCTCAAACTGCTGGCAATGCTGCCAATAATGCAGCCTGGTATGCCATTATCCTTCTTGGCAATAAGGGCTCACTGCTGACTCATATTCAGCTTATCATCCACTGTAACCCCCAGATCCTTTTCTGCAGAGCTGCTGCTTAGCCAGCCAGTCTGTACTAGTGCATGGGATTCTTCAGACTTAAGTCCAGGACTTTGCGCATGTCCTCATTGAAACTCAGGAGATTTCTTTTGGCCCAATCCCCCAATTTGTCTAAAACACTCTGAATCCTAGCCCTACCCTAAACCATAGCTACTACTCCCCACAGGTTGGTGTCATCCAGAATCTTGCTGAGGGTGTACTCCATCCCATCCTCCAGATCGTTAATGAAGATATCAAACAAAACCAGCCCCAGGATTGACCCCCGGGGCATTCCACTTGATACTGGCTGCCAACTAGACCTCAAGCCATTGATTACTACCCTCTGAGCCCAATGCTCCACACAGTTTTCTATCCACCTTACAGTCCATTCATCCAACCCATACTTTCTTAATTTGCTTGCTTAACTTCTCTCTCTTCATCAGGTCGATCCCGTCTGTTCCAACCAATCCTTTTTCTTGGACCAACATTCCATGGTCAAAGAAGCCAAATCCCCGCTGGCGACACCACCTGCGCAGTCATGCATTGATCTGCAGGATGTGTCCACTCCTGTTCAGCCTCTTTCCCTTGACTCGACAGACTGAGGAAAGCAGTACCTGTTCCCTTGTCCCCTTCACCCTTGCACCCAGAGTCCTGTAGTTACCTATGATCTTTCCAGGGTCACCCCTGACAGTATCACTGGTGCCTGCATGGATAGTCAGGTTGTACTTTTCTGTTAGTAGCTCAGCACCCTAAATTGCTTCCTAGTTTGGATAAATGGATTTTTGATATTTGGTCCAATCCATTTTTCTTTATTTATAGGATTTTTGTTTTCTGATATCTTAGTGCTAAGCAGACTCTCAGACTAAGAATGTAAGCTGGGATCAATTATCTCCTCAGCTTTCTTTGTGATAAAGATGCAGATAATTCATTTAACTTTTCTGTATTGTTCTTTTCATGCAAAGAAAGATTGCCAGGAGGGAGGACTGAAACTATTAGATACTGCCCACCTTGGGAAGGTTCCCCTGGAATAAACAGCATGGAGACAAACTATGGGATGGGCTCACCTGGAATCAGTTTTCACATTCCACAGACCTCTTCAGTTTTCAAAAACTGTCCAATTCTGCACTATGACAAAAATCAAGACTTATCAGAGTTTGTTGTGAGAGAACACAGAGATCCCAGAATAGCAAACAGTTAGGGGACAGAGAAGATGTCAGATTCCATTTTCTGTCTGATTCATACCAGAAACCTGGAATCTCAGTCTCCCATATTCCTCCGTACTATCTGCTACTCATGGCAGGTCCCTCTAGTTTGCCTGCAAATTCCCTTCTGGGCCTACAGAAACTTTCCTAACAACACTTTTATCAAAGCTAGTAAATGCCTACAAGAAAATACACATGTTCAACAGACATCAGTTTCCTTGAAAGGTTTTCCATCTGCTCAACTTCTGAAGAGGAACTTGGGTAAAGAGCACAGCAGGCCTGTGCCCAACACAGTCAGCATCACTTTTACCACATTGCAGCACTTAGGGAAGCCTGACATGAATGTACTGCCTGAGTGAGATTAGTTCATCTGTTTGAGTTACCAGTTATTTGTTTTGTTCTTGACAACCTGGATGATATGTGGCAATTTACTCAGGGGGCATTCTGAGTTGAGCTAGTCCAAAACTGCAACCACAAAGGGAAGGGAAGGGAGATGATCTCCTTCCTGCACTGCCCTGCTAAAGTCACACCATGATCCAATGCAGAAACCGTGGGGCTCTGCCCTGTACCAGGGGTTCATCTTTTTTATCAGTAGGTAGTAGTGCCCTTCTCCCCAAATGCCCCGTATCTTCTAGCCTTAGCCACTGCCTCTACACACAAAGGATGCTACATATGAACTGTCTAGAGGTGCACTGATGCATTAGTCCATATTGTATCGGCATTGATAAAAGGAAAATTGGCACTGGCTTTTTTTGGCTGATGTGCCTGATAATGTCGCTGATAAATGCCACATGCATGTGAGCAGCTGTAGAACGCATACGGCCAGGAGCGCAGCTCAGAAGCTTGCATCTGGTCAGTAAATCTGTGGGGAGGAAGGGGTGTGGTGATGGGGGGCAGACTGAGGCCCCTGCGGTGACAGAGGGAGTAGGGCTGGGGCAGGTGCCACCCAGCCAGCATGGGGTGGAGTATGGGACAGAGCTGTGGCTCATCCAAGGAGTGTGTGTGTGTGGGGGGGGTGGGGAATGCTTCTACTGCTGTGCTTGGGCTGAGGCAGGTGGCAGTGGCACTGGGGGGGTTTACAGGGGGATTTTGGCCACCCCAAAATCTGCCATAGCCACCCCTCCCAGTGCCATCGTCCGACCTGCCCCAGCCCCAGCCCCAGCCAGGAAGAGGTTAACACAGCCCTGGCCCCAAGTGCGCAGCCCACCTTCACCCAACACACAGATCCGGGGGGCATGGGCCCCCCATGTTTGCCCCAGGGGTGCATACAGAGGCAGGAGCTGCCTCCCTCTCCCCCCGACCAGTTGCAACTCCGCCCTGGCTGTGCAGCGCCTGCCCTAGCCCCTGCCTCACTCCCTGCCTCACTGCAGGGGCCTCAATCTGCCTCCCCTATGCTCCTTCCCCCCAACAGACTTACTGGCTGGACGCCGCTCTCCAAACTGCCAGGCTGCATATTGGCAATCGGATTGGTATCACCCGATATGGCTGGTTAATAAATCGGCCATCCATAAAGGCCCAAAACCTTTTTATCGATGCTCTTCTAGAATGGTTCCATAGTCCCAACATCCATTGTTCCTCCATGTCTAACATCTGTTCACTAGCCTGAACACTGCATGATTCTCCACAGACCTCCAATATGCAATCCCACAGACCACTTATGCTCCAGCACCACATGCAGTTCAATAGCCTGCTTTTCTCAGAGCATCTTGCAGAGATACACAGCCCACCAATTATTCCCACCCCAGGTCTGGCACTACAGCCCCCGAATCCACTTCCTCCAACCCCTTATACAACTCCACAGCTTCCCTCCCCTGTACTTGCCAGGCATGTTGCAGAGTTACAGAGACTGAAGGCAATCACATTTGCCTAGCAATGCGCTGGGCTAATTAGCAAAGCAAATTAGCCAGAGTTAGTAGACAGAGATCCACCTCAAATCTTTTATTTGGGAAGGCCCTGCCTGGATTGGGTGCTAGATCCAGTCAGCATTTGGAGAATTCTGGTTTAATTGGTTACAGTCTTTCTTTACTCTCTGCACCCTTTCCTCACTTAATAGATAAGCTGTTGCCTGAAATAAAGTAAAAAGGTTAAAAGTGATGAAAGTCTTCCAGCACATTAACTTTAATTTAAAGACTGTCTTGTAACTTGGGAACAACTCACCTGCCCTAGATGTACACACACACACGTGAAGAGATACACACAAGTGCACATACACATATATATGTGTGCAGACACATGCATGCACATATATACACACAGGTACATGTATGTGCACTGTGCATGTGTATTGTGAATCTGCTGGTTCACTTCCTCCTAGCTGCTGTTTGTCTGTCTCTGGGCTCCTTATTTCTTGGTTTGTGTCCTCTCTTCATAGATTTCATAGACATTAGGGGCTGGAAGTGATCTCATGAAATCATTGAGTCCAGCCCCCCCTGCCAGAGGCAGGAAGTCTGCAAGGATCAAGTGATTCCAGCAAGATAAGCATCCAGGCGCCTTTCGAATAAGTCCACAGTAGGTGGTTGCACCACCTCTCGGGGGAGTCAGTTCCAGATCCTGGGCACATGGAATGTAAAGAAGTTTTTTTTTATGTCCAGTCTAAACTGGCCTTCCAGGAGTTTGTGGCCGTTATACTTAGTTACCCCTTGGGGGTCCCTGGTGAACAACAGTTCTCCCAGATCCTGACGTGCCCCCCACTTATATACTTATACTTCTCTTAGACTAAATTTACATACACCCAGCCATAGGCGACATAGCCATAGGTAGAGGGTGCCTGATGGCTGACACTGATGCTGTCAGTAAGGCTGGTGCCCCCCTGACAAGGCTGCCACCATCAGTGGCTTCTGCGGGCACCTCCCCAAATTCAGGAGGTGCCAGTCACTCATGTACCCAGCACTACCACAAATAAAGAGTAGCTCTTCACAGAGCCATATCTTTCAGCTTCATCCTAACGTACTGTTAACCCAGGAACATGCTTGCATTTAGCTCAGGTGCAACTGCCCAAAATGCATCTGCAAAGGAAAAATGAACTGGGGAAAAGGGGTCTGGTAATTCAGGTGAGGCTCCAGAATTGCAGCATTAGAGATGGAAAAGCCCCATCTGGTTCACTGCCTGGGCAAGCAGACAGAAATGAATCCCTGGCTAGTGTTTACTGTAAGGCAGGGATGACAAAGTGAGCTGGCCCCATGTGCCAGATGAGTGACACAGGACTGGTCCACGGGCTGGATAGGGTCCACGGACTGCCCCTCCCCCCAGCCAGGCGTGTCAGATCCAAACCCCGCATGCAGCACAGGTTCTGGATCTGTCAGTGGCGGGGCCCACTGGCCCCTACCCCGCAGCCGGTGCCACTGTGGCTGGTGCGGGGCTGCACTGCATTGCTCTGCTCTGGGACCAGTGCTGCATGCGACACCTGTCTCGGGCTGCCTGAAGCAGGTGCAGCAGGCACTGCATCGGCTTTCTGGGACGGGAGGGGGGGGAGGGATCCCAAACCAGCCCTGCACATGTGCTATTTGCAGCCCAGATCGCTTACCCCTGGCCGCGCCGGCCGGCCAGTCCGTCCCGCTCACGGTCCCCCCGGAGCCTCGCGCCGCGCCCGCGGG